AAACCACTTCTGAAGATGCAAGCCACTCGTGCTTGCGAAACGTCAAGAAGAATTTCTATCGAAGGACGGCCTAAAAACCCGAAAAACCCATTAGTTTCAAAGAATGGCCTCGAAAGTCTATCTCTTTTGTATTTGTTATTGGTAGATTGAGAGAGTTTACAGAGTGTCCTCCATATTAGTGGGTAAAATGCGTATTCGGTACTATAATAATAATAATACTAAAGCTGTAATCAAAGGGGTTATCGTTATTGACAAGCATCTACTCTTATCAGTTTTTATGGCAGCAATTTCGGTATGTTATAGGTATGAAGTACACATGTCGCCGGCAACATGACATCGAGATTAAGCGCGGCTGATTTCTCAATTTGCGCCACTTTCAGCGACAATTTGTGCAATTTCATATTTCAAGAACTGCAACACAGTTGAATCGATTGAAAGATTTTCATAATTTCAAAGCGAATGTTGTGCATACTCGCTCATTCATTAGAAAGGAATCAGGCGCATGTGGTTCAAACCCTGATGGCAATAAACTGCGCCTGAAGAGTTATCTACTGTCCTCAAATTAGCAACATATACCGTATCGAAAACTTTAGCAATTAAGAAAATTCACCGCCGCAAGTTTTCGCTTTTTAGTCTCAAAATTTTTGAAATTCTATGCTACTTGTAGGTTCCCAACTAACTACGGATAGCGGCTCCAATAGGGACAGTGTCGTCTCCTCCGACCATCAAACGAATAGTTTATATGGCCAGCCACTGCCTAGATGGGAATACAACAATGAAAACACGTACTACAAGCCACCCAGCGATGTCAGCGATCGAGTGTCCGAACGCAGCGACGAATGGGAAGATGTTACGGACAATGAGGAGCGGGAAAGTGGATTCATAGTGTGAGTGTTAGCAAACAATTCGAAGGTCCGATTTAGAGCGATTGAACCGTCGTTTTCAGCCTGTACCGAACCAACTTTCAGCTCGATACCTTCAAAAAATTTGCTCAAAATAATGGCTCCCGTTCTTTTACCGGTTTTCTAGTTTAGTTACTAACTTCGCAAAAAATTAGTTGTAGATTGTGTCTTAACGAACACTTTTCCTTGCTGTTGTGCAAATGATGATTGAAAGCAGTTCAAGAGTCAATGACGCGCCTTCTTATGGGAGTTTTGTGAAGATTAACAGTGCAAACGTGGCAGAAAAGAAACGTTACTCAGAAAAAGTGTTTGTAAAGGCTCTGAGCAACTAAACTAGAAAATTACCGGATATTGAGCTGCAAGTTGAGAAGCTACTCAGCTTCGGTACCGACCAATAAAAGAGGTTTCAATCGCTCTAATGTTTTGCTCCAGAAAACGCCGATTTGCTCGAAGTTGTCAGATTTAAACTGTCTTTCTCTATCAAGGATTGTTGACTTTGAAAAAAGTTGAAGGCAAATGTCAAGCGGCTGTCAAAATTTGAGAGCTGCGCGTAAAAGCACATTTCCGATAACACGTTTGCATTCAAATTTGCCATCCACTCTCTCCAACGGTCTTTAACACATAGATAGACTTAATCAGTGCTCACCTTGAACGTTAAACAATCATTGGGCAAAACCAGTTCTTCTTAAACCTTGCCAAATGCCATCAAACACCTTTTCACTTGAACGGACTGCTCCTGGATGTTAGCTGAAATATTCCATACCAGCGCTCGGTTGCTTGTCACTATAAAAACTCGAAAAAACACTGAAAATATATCGAGTCGATCCACCTCAAACAATCTCTTGAGCATTCTGATCGAAAATGTCAGACTTAACTCATTGTGTGACAGTTGCTAATGGTAACATCAGTCAATACTGTATTTTGGCCCAATTTTATTGGTATCGTCGTGCTGTCGCCATGGCAACCGTTACGATTGATCACATTTTCAACATGTCCAAATATGTCAGTGCGAATTTTTGGTCAAAATGATACACTTTTTAAAAACGCATCAACCCAAAATTCGTTTAAAATTGACGCGATTGCTGATTAACCAATCAAAAAACTTGGCTCATTCCAACCGTTATTCGGCAAACCATATTTATTTAAGAATTTATTAACAAATTAAAAAATAACCCATATTAAACAAGACCTAGATAGCAAATGAGGGTTAACAATAGGCCGATTGGATAATTCTGGTTAAAACAATGGTTTATTTGTTTCTTGTCCGTTGGTTAGTATGTTAAATTCAATTAGCGCGCAGTCCATTTGCGGTTTATTGTCAAAATTCGTATCGAAAATTATATTTACTTTTTATTACGCGTTGGGAAATGGGCTTGAAGCGAATCGAAATTTTATTCAGCAAATACTCTTCGGTTGTGGAGTTAATTCGAGCGTCACTTGCCCGGTTAAATCTAGCCGAAAATAGTTGGTTAAAAGTAACGAAATTTGGTAAGGTTTTTCGTTTTTTTCTCGGTTTTTCTGCATCTTATTCATGTGCAATCTGTTTAAAACGTGCTAAATTTGTTTCAAAAAACTACTCGATGAATTCAGTTCAAAATTCACCTAAGGAATGACCAGTTGAAGACCGTAGTTAAAAAATGGCAAAAAGTAAAGTTTAATAATTTATTGCGAAAGAACCACTAGACGGATTCCGTTCAAATTCACGCAGCGAAAAACATCAAGTTTCCCTTAAAGAATTATAAAAAGCGCGTCGTGATAGATGGTCCATTTATTGAGAAATCCCCTCTTGAAGACGGTGGTAAAAAAGTGGCAAAAAGTAAAAAAATGTCCAAAGTTTAATAATTTATTGCGAAAGAACCACTAGACGGATTCAGTTGAAGTTCACACAGCAAAGAACGCGAAGTTTTTCTTACAGAATATTGAAGAGCGCGTCGTGATACCTGGTCCATTAATGGAGAAATCGCCCCTTGAAGACGGTAGTGCCAAAAATTGCGAAAAGTAAAAAAATGTTTAAAGTTTAATAGTTTATTGCGTAAGAACCACTAAACTGATTCAGTTCAAATTCACACTGCAAAGACCGAGAAGCTTTTCTTAAAGAATTTAAAAAATCGCGTCATAATATCTAGTCTGTTTATTGAGAAATCCCGTCTTGAAGACGGTGGTGAAAAAGTGGCAAAAAGTAAAAAAATGTCCAAAGTTTAATAATTTATTGCGAAAGAACCACTGGACGGATTACGTTCAAATTCACGCAGCGAAAAACTTAAAGTTTCCCTTAAATATTAATAATAAGCGAGTCTTGGAAGTCCTTCCTTTTGAACCTCCAGAGTTTAATTATTTATTCCGAAAAAACCACTGATTGGATTCATTTTGGGTCGCACCTGAAGCTTACTTTAAACAATATTAAAGAGCGGGTCGCCATTTCTGTTCTGTTTATTGGGAAATTGCGACTTGAAGGCGGGAGTGCAAAACTGGCAAAACTGGCTAAGAAGATGTTCAAAGCTATTCGAAAAAAAGTGTCTTTTCTAGAACAAGCACCTGAAATTCCTCACATTATAAATTTTATCACCTCGCAAAACATAAAACAGTTACTTATTGCCATACAATGGGCGATAATAAATTATAAACTGCTGTTTTTGATGTTGCCTTTCATTAAAGGTGAACGTTCATCTACATGCTCCGCATATAAATAACCGATGTAATAAATAGAAATTATTATTATTTAACCGTTAACATACACTCAATTATGACATTGATTCACATCAGCAATAATCAAGTTTGTTACCAGCAGGCTACTTGAACTAATTCGACATTTTTCGTTCAGGGTTCGCGAGCGGCATAAAGGGAAAAAGCCGGGATGGTCGCAACATTTCCGGGAGCAACTATCGAAAACCCTCAAGGAAGGCAACACTCCAGTAGGTAAGTTAAAGTTAAAGTAAAATTACTTTTGGTAAATAAATGTACAATTTTTTATAGATATTTACAAAATCTCTGATGTATATGGAACTATTTGTCTTTTAAACATCCTTCACCATTTTGTCCACATTTAGATTATCTTGATAATTTAGTGGATGCGACTTTAATTATTTTTAGTCCAGAACGCCTGCTTATGAATTTACAGACTTTCGCCTCCTTGGGCGTATTAAAACATGATTTTTCCCATCCATATGCAAAAACAGGAGCCTATTTCGGTTAAAAACTAAGGCATTTAAACGTGCGCTAACCAGCCAACAAACAGTATTTTTTCCTTTTTTCCTTAGCATCGAATAATGCATTTTTATAGACAATCGCTTCCTTTTAGACAATTTCTCTGAGGCTTCATTATGAAGTCGACAGCGTTTTTCTTCAACTATATGATGAAATCACAAGATATCGCAAGGTGTGGGACTGCCTTGAATTTATAACATAATCAATTAGACGCGTAATTAATCAGGTACGCGTACGCTCAAAGCTTTGTTGAAAATAATTGTTTTGAAGCCTCCGGCAGCATTTTGATGTCTTCAACGACAAATCAAGTAAACATTTTTGAAATTCAATAAAAACTGAAAAATCCTTTCTAGTCATTTGTGTTATAGTTATTAAGTTTTGTTTTGTTATCAAGCGGATTATGTCAGCTCCGTTTGAGTGCAGCAGGCCGCAAATATTGCTCAACTTTTAATGCGATTACCAAAGGAAAATAGTAATTATTACTAAATTGAAGCCGGCAATTTTTCAAGCAGGTTGCCTTCAAAGCCGCTGTTGAGAGTTCGAGGCTGATATCATTCCAAACCCACCAGAATGACGACTTGTTTTATTTTAATCGGCGTTGCCAACGATAATAATTTAATAAACAATGTTTTTACAAACAATTAATTTTAATAAACAAACTAGTTTTTTAGGCTTTAAGTTTTAGGCCCTGAGCGCGTCCTGTTTATTGCGTTTTCCTTACAGAGTGTTAAAGAGCGCGTCCTGATATCTGGTCCATTTATTGAGAAATTGCTTCTTGAAGATGGTAGTGTAAAAATGGCATAAAAATGTCCAAAGTTTAATAATTTATTGCGAAAGAACCACTAGACGGACTCATTTCAAATTCACTTAGGGGCGCATCTGAAGCTTTTCTTAATAAATGAGTAGAGGAGCTTCGCTTGATATCTAAGGTGTATATTGAGATACTATTGCAAGGGTTAATGCAAACATGGAGAAAAGTCCAAATAATGTCCAAAGTTTAATAATTTAGTAGCAAAAAACTCCTCGACGGATTCACAGAGCACATATTTTTAAAGATTCTTTAACATTTTCACCTAAAAATGTTAATATATAGGGTGTACGAGTTCTGCCGCATTAAAAATTGCGTTAACCTTGCGCCAAAGTAAATTTCTCTTCCAGGAAAAATGCGCTTCTCATTATCATTCCATGGATGTTTATTTATATAACGATCCATTACAGTCGTTGCACATAAACCGTACCAGTTCTTATACAACTGGAGTACCATCGACAACGTTGCTGTTTTCGCTTTCATTTGGTACCACTCGTTCGTGTGAATTAGCAATTGTCCTTCCAGCCGCTCAGACAAAGATGCAACATTATAAACATTCTTTTGTTTAAAATATGGGAAATTTTCGCTCGTTTTCAGTAACACACACGGTCGAAACCGCATCTTGTTTGTCGGCGGTTTTCCTCCAATTAACTCATAAGTGAATGTTTCCTTAGTACCACCAATGATAATTTAATAAAGCGAGGAACCATCCCAAGTTCACTGTGCAACTGCGCTCGCAAAAGAAGTGAAAGTTCGTCGGGTTTTTACAAAACCAGTTAAGTTTTCGTGATGCGTTATCGGACTTAAGCAGTTTTCAATTACTTTTGACCAGGTTCTGATTATTCAAGTAGCTAAAACAGTGACTTTACGGAATTATTAGTGACCTAAACGTGCAGCAAATGTGGTGAATCACTGGTGTCTCTTACCTTTTAAGGTGCTGCTCAATTGGTTTCTTTGTTTGTGTTTTAGCGTCGCTTATGTAAGGAATTCAGGCCCCAAAATTATACATTATTCGCTTGCCAATCCAAGTCTCGGACGAAATTTGCCAGGTGCTTGATACATTTCGTTAGTTAAATTCTTGCGAAATTTTGTTTTTTTTAATGTATTAGTCTATATCGTATCCAAGATGCCGCTCCTTAACTATCCGCACAGTTTTAATTCGTAGATTCTTTCAAAGGATTTGCGTTGATCTATATGCAAATTTATATCACGCCAAACTGGCCGTTTGGTTGCTCTTTTTCCCTTTTTCATCAATTCCTCAATGTTTACCGTCATTTTGTTCAGATGAATTTACTGGGTGAAACCTTGATCTTTACCGAGCAACTTATTGCAAGCGAATATCTGCATTTGTCCAATAATGTCGAGCGCTTAAAGTGAAAACTGCGTTCTTATGCATTTGGGTGCGATTTAATAGCGGAAAGTACAAAAAAATCAACATTTTATGCTCTAGTTTCCAGTTATGTGAAGGTAATTAAGCAAGCTTAATTGATCAAACTTCTGCATAGCCAATCGACTTTATTAACCGAGAATAAATAAAACAATTAATGTTTTCAAATCAGTCAATTTCCTCTAAAGTGCGTGCTGTATTCTTCAACACCTAGATTAATTAATGCGTGCTTCTGACGCATAAATGAATCAGTTTAAGTAAATATTTCCTACATAGAAAGCGCGGTGGTAATTGCCAAGCAAAGAAAACCAACTGAGTGCATTAAACAGACTCCCCAAGAGAGAAAAACGATGAATAATGCCTTCGAGTAAACCAACCCGACATCGACGGTCGATTTCCTCAAAATCCATCAAAAGGAAAAACAATGAAGCTCAATTTTTCACCCCGGAATCGCCTCCGATGCCTCCTCCAAGATCGGCGCCTTCGACCTATCGCAAACCCAGAAGAAATGTGGGAGACACCGTTTGCGTCTCCTCCTCTTCCAGGGTTTTGCTCGATTATTCCGATGAAAACACCAAAGCGGTGCGGATTCTGGACGTTGAAAGCGTGAAAGAAATAGACGAAAACGCGAAGGATTTTCGGCAAAAGGAACAGGCGATAAGGGAGAAAAAAGACCTGCCAAAAATCCGAAACAGAATCTTTGAGGAAAGCTTGGAAAGTCAGGAGATTTCGTTTTATATAGGTAAATTGATGCGTCAGCATTCCACTCAAACCGTTCACCTTTGCGGCCATTGAAATCCCACATTCTTCAGCAAATTTTATTGTTTTCTTCATGCAGACGATTAGAATGGCCGAAGCTTTGAATTATTCTAGCTGTAAACGTGCTGGAAAGTTTCAGCTGTTGCTTAACTGGAAACACACCATTAATATTAATTTGCCGACCAGCTTGGACTGTAACTGTTTCTTCTCAACAATGTTCAAACCTTTTTTGGTTTCATCTACAGAGGATTTTTTTAAAGCTTATATGGAAACGTGCATTTTGAATCACGAACACTTTAAAAACCCGGTACATTCAACTGCAAGTCGCGAAACCAGCGTAGGTATAGGAAATTCGTTTGAACTGCTTTTGCTTGAG